CTTCCTTCCTTCCTTCCTTCCTTCCTTCCTTCCCATCCATCCATCCATCCATCCATCCATCTCTCCCTCCTTTCTGCCTGCCTGCCTGCCTCTTGTCTCAGCCCCATCCAGTTTTGTTCCTTTCTGATCCCTTCCCAGTGTAGCTGTTCCTTAACCCATCTCCATCCTCTTTTCTTCTTCTTTTTGCTGGAAGGAAGGAAGAAAATGTAGATGTGTCTAGTATATATTCGTGTGTGTGAGAGAGAAAATGGTTAGTACACACACATGGGGATCCATTAACTTTACAAGTAGGGACCTTGTTTTATAGACAGTTCGTTTTAATTAATAACTACGAATTCAGTTCATATAGATTTTTTATTGTCCTGGCCCTGCTTGTGGGGAAGGAATATGGCTTCTGATTTGATAGATAGGTATACATACACAAGTGAAATTTTTGTACTCTCACTGCATCTGTTAGAGAGGATCTTCTCCTCCACCCAGCATATTCTAGGGCCATTTTGACTGTTGTTGAGTCAAGGACACTTGAAAGAACTCTTCATCTGTAAGAGTCTCCCGGCTCTTACAGGTGAAGGAAGCGTTTTCCCCCTGTATTCTTCTCAATGCTTTGACAGATGCCAAAATGATTCGGGAGAGAATTGCCTGGCTTTGGGGAAGATTTAGAAAAGCAACTTTCCCAATAAAACTGTTAATATTTGAGGGTAGACTTCTGAGTTGCAGAGCATCGCTTGAACCTCTTGCTGTACCTAGCTGGATTAGCTCCACTGACCAAAACTCTTAGGGTCATTGCTGGTTCATGTGGGAGTTTTATGTGTTTCTTCTTAGATTTCTCCTTCTCTTTCTGCTCTCCTTTCCTATTGCTTATTCCCCTGGACCATTCCCTTGAGTTTCTTTCCTGCCGTGCTCTGGAGGAACTAAGAATGGCAAACCGAAACCTTCCTTTCTATCTTGGAGACCAGGGCAGTCCCACCAGCTACTGTTAAACGTTTTGTAATGTAAAATATAGCCTGCTCCAAAATAGATGCCATATTTCAGAAAATGCTTAATTTTGGAGCAGTATGTGTTAGCCATGTGACTTTCTTTAAATGATCTCTTCGTGCCTATGTGTGGGCGCTGGGTGGAACAAAGGGTTACTAACACAAGAAACTTCTTGAATCCAGAGGAAAGCGCTGGCATGTTATTAGCAATCTTAACTTTCCGTAGATTGCAGTTTGTAGGGAAATATGTAAGCGGTAGGGTTTCCTGATGTGAGCCTGACTGCCTGGGCTTATCCCCCCATCCTGGTTCAGCTTGCATTCATAATTGAATGCATAATTCTTTTTCAGTGCTCTAAGAACCATACAGGCGGAGCTCACGTCTGGTAACTCACCAAGCGGTTAAAATGATTACTAAGAATCCTAAATGTCAGGGAAGTGTGAGATTACAACATGAAATGAGATGTCGCTCTGGGCCTTATCTCTGTCCATGACCCATCCTACATATTTCACTCCCCCCACCAACTCCAAGGATATCAATTCATCTGTCAGCCCGAATGGTACACTGTGGTTTCAGTCTTCTTTTAAAATCTGTGATTCAGTTCATACGTTGCTTTCACTCATAGTTTGTTTCGCTGCAGTTGAAAGAAATCCAAAGTGGTTGGCGTCACAGGGCATGTTAAGCCCTGAAACGTGGCTTAGAGAGGACAGCTTTCCCCAGCAGGTTAAGGCAAAATGGAGTAAACCACGCTGGACTAAATGCACGAAGCTAACATGCCTCTCATTACATTGTTGTGAAAGGAGCAGAGAATCAGACTATGAGCTTTCACTCACTTCAGTTTTTAATAATTCATTGGATTGTGATTTGGTTAAGAAAAAACCAGACCTCTCTCTTCCATTTTTATATTTAGTTAACTTTTTGTTTAAAAGATTTATATGACCGCCCATCTTAAGCAACTCTGGGCGCCTCACAACCACCGTGAAACCGATCATTGTAAAACAATCATAAAACAGTAGAATAAAGCAAAAACCCTGCGGGTTTTGGATGTCCCACGGCAAGCTTCAGTTGCCCTCAATCTGTACTTTCTCTCGGTACGTGTAGCTGTTCTGTCTATACATTCTGTCTGCATATGTAGCTGTCACTGGATTTTCCCTGCCATTTAAACTGATTTGCTCTTGCATAGTTATGACTGTGTCGTTGTCCTGTCTCATTGTTCCTTTTCTTTCTAGTAAAATGTCTCTTCTAGGCTTTGCAGAAATCCATTGCGTGTCATTTGACTCGGGAGTCAACCCAAATCGGTAGAGCTAGTGTAGCCCTTGAATCCTATTTTGGGGGGCTCCGGAGCCCCAAAACACAAACTCCGAATCATTTTGAGGCAACAGAGGCACACAAACTGTAGGGAAAGTCATAGCTTTGGTTTCCTGTAGCTCAGGATAAAGCAGAACACCCTCTTCTGTCCCTGTTTTTATTATATTTTAATGGCTTTTTATTCTTATTTTTATTGTAAACCCCCAGAGTCACTCTCTGAGTGAGATGGGCGGTGACTAAATTTGAAATATAAATAAATAAAATGAATAGGCCGCACGACCCTTGCCTCCCCTTCAGATTTTTAAGTCTGACCCTTCTCTGATTTAGGACTATTTTGACTGAAGCTGCATGGAGGGATGGGTGTACATTTGGTTTTTTAATCTCTTAATATCTTCGGATGCTGTTTTCTCTCAAAATATTGTGGCCTTTGAGTGCAGCTTTGAATTTCTGGGAGATTGAAGGCTGGTTGTTCCGGGTTTTCTTGGTTCTTGGTCCAGGCCTGATCGGAGGCGGAGGGATTTGTACCGAGTTGCAAACGCGACTTTTGCCAGTAAGAACAGGACGGGGATCGTTCCAGAACACTTTAGCAACGGAACCGACCCGGAAGAGGGCGAGATGGAATTTCCCTTCTACGAAGCCAAAGTGGAGGGCAAGGAGCGGACTCTGATTTCTCAGCTCCTGCCTTTCACCCTTTATCGGATTGACATCCACAGCTGCAATCACGAAGCTGCACGGCTGGGCTGCAGCGCTTCAAACTTTGTCTTCGCACGGACGATGCCTGCAGGTACAGTCCCCACACTTGGTTTAGTGCGTGCGTAGCTTCAGAAAGTGTCGGGGTCCAATTTGGCACACAGACTCCCTCGTAATTTGATCCGACGTTGATCCTACGGGTTGACGAAGGAAAGGGCAGTGGGGTGATTGGAGAAAGGCAGACTATCCTTCTCAAGCTGAGGGATGTGCCTGCTGCCGATTGACCTCCTGTAGTGCGTGGGGCTAGGATGCACTACCATTTCGTGGAATTAATTTTAATACAATCTGTAAGGTCGCTCCCCAGGGATTGAAATTTTCCTCTTCTGTCATATTAAACATTTCTCTGCCCATGTCTGCACATCACGGGTCTAAATACAGTCTGACACTGTGGTTTTCATCCTCTTTGGGAGATGTTTGCAGGATCTCAGTTGGTGAATTAGAAGGGTTTCCAACCTTGCTATGGGAATGTAAAAGTTCCTGGTTTTTTTAACTTCCTTTTTTTGGGTCAATATATAACTTTTGGGCCACGTTTGTTCAAAGATAGGTCATCTTAGATCGTGGCTATGGTTTTGAGTTACACCATCTCTTGTACTTACTTTCTGTAGAAGGGGCTGATAACATTCCAGGAACAGTAACATGGGAAGGGAAAGAAGAAAACACAATATACCTGAAGTGGCCAGAACCGGTTAACCCCAATGGGTTGGTTTTGATGTATGAAATCAAATATGGACAAAATGGAGAGGTAAGAAGGGCAATGACTTTGGTGTTATTATTTAATGATATTTCTAAACCACTAATTACAATTAAAGTCTACAGATTCAAACTTCCTGAATGCTTATGTAACATCCAGATATGAAATCTTTACAGTGAACATTGCCCCAAACAATATAGTATCCAATATCAGGGTAAGATCTTAACCCAGAGGTATATCTTGCAACAGAGGTTAAAAACACAACAGAGCAGGTAGCTCACATTTCAAGAAAGGATGCTGAAAAGATTTAGCTAACAGGCTGGTTATTGTGATGTGACAGCTTAAAGAATAAAATACAATTAACAAACTCTTTCTGGTGACCATTGTGTTATAGTAAATAAGATGGTCTTTCATCTAACTACACTGCAGTTAATGGTCTGAGTCCCCCTTAAGACTAAGGCAGTGTTTCTCAACCTTTGTAATTTCCAGGTGTGTGGGCTTCAAATCTCAGAATTTCACACCCAGGATGGCTGTTGGTGAGAATTCTGCGCGTTGAAGTCTACACACCTGGAAGTTGCCAAGGTTAGGGAAATACTGGACCGAGCCCTAAAATGGTTGGTTTTCTTTTGGTGTTCTTCAGTGTGTGAAGTCATACATTAAGGCTTCATATTATATAGCAATCAGGCCACTATGCCAGGCTACTTTGATTTATTCAGTCTTGGTTTAATGCTGTTTTTGAACCCAATCATTGTTACTGTTACGTGTAGGTCTTCGTGGGTACAGTGTTACTGCAGCTTCCCATTTATTATGACTTATTTTGATAATTAAAATCTGTACAATGAAATTGAAGTCAGATACGGCAAGGGAATCAGGTAGGGTCCCTGAAGCCATTGTGATGATAGATACCACTTTGTTTAGCAACCAAATGAATGGGTACATTTCAGTGATAGAGGACACATTGTCCATGTCACAGGCCTCGGGTTTCACCCTGATATCTCCAGGTTGGTAAAACTCCTGCCTGAAATGCCGAAGAGTCATTGTCAGCCAATGGAACTCACCCTTCTGAACCTAAACTCCTCCAGATGTTTTCATTGTTTATTTCCAACCACCCTAACCAGTGGCCAGGGATGATGGGCGTTATAATTCAACCACTCAGAGGGACCCATGTTGGGGAATGAATCATTTTCTGATTTGGTGTAAGGCAGTTTCCTGAGATTTCTATGAGGTCACTGATGGAACTGTGCCATTTTGGAACACAAAACAAGCAGAAAAGCAGGTTTCTCTTTTTTCACTGTCAAAATTAAATCTGAAGAAGAGTGTTTGTATAATGTTCTCTTTTGTTCTTTGGTGATCTGTTTAAATCAAGCTAGACAGTCTAATGAAGTCTTGGATATACCTTTTAGCAAGTTTTCTATATCGTGAGTGAGCGTATGCCTATTTCCTTGAAATTCTTTTTACAAGATCGCTCAGATTTTGTGCATTTGAGGGGGAAAAAAACAATTCAATGAGGGAAAGAGGAAAAATACCTTCCACAGTAGTTGGAGAAAGTTCCAGAGGAACCTGAACCCCTTTATTATTGCCTTGCCTTGCAAGAATGAATTAAAAAAAATAATTTAACCCCTTCTCTTCTCCATTTACCCAACTTTATAGGAAAAACGGGAATGTGTTTCCAGGCAAGAATATAAGAAACTTGGGGGAGCCAGGCTGACACACCTGAACCCTGGGAATTACACAGTTAGAGTCCAGGCTACTTCACTAGCTGGGAACGGATCCTGGACGGAGCCAATCTCGTTCTATGTCCAACCCAAAC